AGCCTTCAATTTTTTGAAGACTAAATAAGTACATTTCACAAAAAGAGATTGATATTCATCAAAGAGTTTTGTTGTTGTTGTTATTAGTCACAATTTTGCAAAGGTTTTCTTATGCATAAGAGGAGTTAGTCTTATCAGTTTGTTTCATAAGAAATGATTTATCTAATCTGCTTCACCTGCCATTAAAATAACGTGACTGTGTCCATCTTTTTGGCTCTGAATGTTTAAATCTGTTTTTCAGGATTGAAATGAGTTTCACTGTTCTGGAGTAGAAGAAATGTGCTGAAATCATTTGGAGCTTCAATATATCCGTGACAGCTATGCTGATGCGCTGCCAGATAGTTAATAGTCGTGTTGTTATGCTCTGTAGGCGTTGCCACTAAATACTGCTGATTACACATTCCCTTGTTTTCACCCATTTTCAGTTTTGTGGTCTTTTTCTTAGATCCTTCTCAATTAATGTACGGTTTGGGATTGTTGTGCAGTAAAATGTAGTCTCTCGATTAAATTTTCCTCACACGCATATGAGATGAAGTCATGCTATCTAAGTAACACCTGCTGTCATGCAGGGTAAACACACCCAGTCTTTTAAAAGTTTTTTTTTTGTTTTATCAATTTGAGCGCTGAGATTCAGCTCGAGTCTCCTAAAAGTCCAAGGAGAGGGGTGGTGTTCCCAGAGGGGTGTTTGCTTAAGCCTCATTTTATAGCCATGATGCTTATTCCAGACACGATCTGAGGCTGAAACACAGAGAAGTGGCACAAAACTAGCAAACCACTTCCTTACTTCAGGATTTAGATGGCTTTTTACTGGTTTTACAAGATAACCATATATTTTTTTCTATACTTAGGTGCACCAAACGTGGTTTGGATGTTGTTTTCCTCACACAAACTGTGCCGTGTTGGTTTAACCTACAAATGTTGCCCTGAGATCCAAAAACTCCTTTCATGCAAGAGAGATTTGTTTGAAATTGGTGGAGGTATTTCCTGCATTATTTTCAGTTTGCTTTCTGCTATGCCCTTTGATGCAGGGGTACATACTCTTCATTGCATTAAAGCTGATTGCAGGTTACCTTTAAAGGTAAAAATGCCTGGAGCAATCTGGATGGTGATCTGTGGTCAGGGCTAACTTCTGCTCTGAGCTATCACTTCGATGTGCCGTGACATTCTAATGGCTCGGTCCCAGGCCAGATCAAAGAGCTGTTTGTGGTCAGGGATGGAGATTACACTTGGCCGCTGTGCCATTCCCTCATAGCATCCAGAACAGATCCCAGAGGTTTTCAAATCCCAGATGTTTATCGGCCCTGTACCCAAACAAACAAGATGCACATCACTGCACACAGTCATGCAAACGTAATCTTTCTTTGTGTTATGCATGGTTCAAATTGTGTCTGTTGTCTGCATTTGTGCTCCTAGACCTCAATCCGTCTCCAGAGATTAAACAAGGACAAGAACGAGAGGACAAGTTTAGCTTATGGTCTTGATTCTCAAACTGTGGTACAAGTATCACTCGTACTACTTGGTGTTTCCACCATGGCACCCAGTGGAAATTTTTATATGAATTATTTACAATGAGTTAGTTATTTAAAACAAAATAATCAGATGAATTACTCTGTAGTAATGTGATTAATCAAAATTAATCTGCTCTTAATTTAGTAATCTTGAAATGTGCATAAGAAAATCTTTTATTGTCTCAAATCAAACATGTCAGTCTGTTTTCCAAGGTCGCATATAAGGTTTAAAATAAGCGACTTTGTTTCAAATGTTAATTTAGAAATCTTTATTATAGGTAAACTGGCTCTTTGGTGGAAGGGTAATTAATTATTGCAATATATACAATTTTTTGTACATCATAAGATGATTAGGATAACTCTTTTAAAGAAAAAATTGTTTGACTGCTCGCTCATTGTTTCACTCTCGATTGCGAATGCAGTAGACGCTGCTGTAAACTAGACAGGAGAGAGACTTATAGGTCAAAATAAGTAATGCGATTGATCTGCATTATGTAATATTAACATGTTTAACTTTTTAGATTAATTGCCCGTTACCTTGTTAAAGTGTTAACGTTGACAGCCCTACTTACATAATAAACATGAAGCAAAATAACTTTTACACAGAGTTAACAACCCCAATCCCAACAAGGATAAGTGGTTAAAGCACATTGCCATTTGCTTTCAATAAATCCAGCTCCAGAGGGAAGTAAAGGGGTTTATGTTTCACAAACTCCCAGTAGAAGCAGGCTGCAGTTGAGAGTAAACCAAAAACTGCCAGTGACCACTACTGATGCTTAGTGCCATTTATCTCTAACTTCAGAGTTTGGATCTGGGAATAACATTAAAACCAAGTTACCCATGTGCTATTTGGAAAACCAGATTTGAGATTATTGTACTCAATGATCTGTAAAAAGTACAATACAATACAATTACCTGTATGACACATGTAAAGCCACTGTATGTCTTGTCTTTATTAAAGACATTCAAAGATCCATGTCCTCAAACAGAAGTTGTACATTGTAAGTTTGAGCTATTTTTGCTGCAGACTAACATCTATATGACTTCACATTTAGCTCATTATCACGGCAGTAGCCATTGTTTTAATGTGTCTTATTTGAAAAACTTTGCAGTAATGAGGTGGCACTGAACGGTTTAAAGTTACTTTCAGTAATATAAGAAAGTCAATATATAGGCAAGAAGGTTAAGGGGAAACAAATTAGCAAATAAAAAGAATAAGAGGGGAAGACAGACAAGATACGCAGAAGCCCTGCTGCAGAGCGTTTTGGCTCTGACCCTACAGTCCCTGTCAGAGTCCAGCAACACAACTCATCTGTAGGAAGTGACACAGTCTGTCACTGATTAACAAATCATAATATTGCAAAGAACATGAAAGAACAGGTGTGCGGGTCAATTCCGACTATGTCTGTTTGATTTGCAGATTCATTAACATCCTTGTTTTCCACACTGTAATTCCCAGGTGGGGAACAGCTTCAAACCACAGGCCTAATTGGGAGCATGTGTTTTTGCACAGCGTCCAGGGCATGCTGGACTTTTCCAGGCTCAGTTTAACTTCTGGAAAGGATCTCACAAATCCAGTATAGGATGTATTTCAATAAATCAATGTAAAAAAAAATTCAAATTACCATAAGCACTGGACAAGTTTCTTTGCTGATGGTTCTAAGGACATTTATCCACCCTTCCTTTTGTTTCAACCTTTAAGAGTCCCTTCACTCTTTTCAAACTGTCCAGACCACTTGAGTGCCTGTATAAAGAATAAGGCGGATCTGGATCTGACAGGCGCGTCTCTTGAGCGGGCAGCAGACCAAACTCTGGCCGTCAGCTGGGCGAGATCTGCTCCTGGCAGGCGGCACAACGAGCTGGGATGGCCTTCCAGGAGACAACTGTCTCACTAATTAGAAAGCCAAGACACTGATTAGGTTTAATTATGGTACACTCTTTCGGTTTAATAAAGATAATAATTAAACTTAATTGTGACCAAGTAAAGTTGGAATTCATATCCTCAATAGGCTACACTATCTGCATCATCATCAGGAATACAATAAGTCTTAGAGATTTTTACAGTTTGTTTCAAGTATTATTGGATTTTAACAATTTACAGGCAGTTGGCAGGCAGTCTGGTATTCACAATGTGCCCATGTGAATACCAGAGAAACACTGTAACTAAGCATTTATAACTGAATTTTCCTTTTGGATTCTACTGAAGAGGTTCAGAGACGTCTAATCAAGGTATGGTAACGCTTAAAATCGCAATCGGTGAAAACTGATGCGGCTTCTTTTAAGCGTAATTGTCAACTTATAACTTGATTAAAACTAACTGATCCTGCCATGACAACATAAAACCTGCAAAAAGGTAAAATAAATCATCCACTTGTTTTTGTTGTTTTTTATGAGTACCAATCAGTCCTCTTTACCAATTTTTCCCAAAATAAATTTCCGACATGATTCACCTGTTTCATTGTGGATCATTTGGAGCAGATCATCTGCAGCCTCCCTCTGCATCAAAGTGCCTCATGCTGTCTGTGTTTACTGCAACAAGCCGAATCCCTTCAAATTAGCATCCTGAAGGACTTTCTGAAATCAAAACCATGTGTTTGCAAACATTTATCTTTGCTGAATTAGACTCTATCCCTGCTCTGCCCTCCAACCAACCCCAAAGAACGACCTCGTTTATGTGATGAAGCTGCAGCATAATTACAGTGTGCATCTCTTCGGTCGTTTGCCACTTAGTCAGTCATATCATTTGCAAATTAAGGATGTATTAATGTGGCCTTTACCCAAAATACATTGGGTGAGTTGAGTTAATTTTGTTTGAATATTCTGCATTTTGTAGGCCTTTTTGAAAGCTATAATCTCAGCATGTAAAATCCATTAGAAGGGTACCGTGAAAGGATTAAATATGCCAAATTTACTTCAAAATCTTTTTCTCTGTGAAACCAAAAAAGGTCTCTCATGTGTATCTGTCAGTGGTTGCTGTCAGCTGAGCTTCAATAGATGAAACGATCCCATTCAGGAGCTACTGGATGTGCATGGCCTGGTGTGCCACCACACTCAGATCTTCCACTGCTGCACATCCTGAATGTTTTTGTGTCAGGGACTACATGAGAGCACGCTCAGAATTAGACATGTGTTTTCTGAGCTTTGAGTTATTCAGAGATCCGTTCATCTCTTTGTTTTTTGTTGTTGAAGCAATGAACAATCAAAGACGAGGGGTGAGGAGTCCTGAAGAGCTTCTTTTCAGCCTATAGAATTTGGCCACAGCGACCCACAGAGAACCGAGAAGGCGCTGAAGTATTTAATCGATGTTCCCAGGAAGCTGACACACACCAATGATCCACTCAGGTAGATTTCAGACTCTCTGTTGTCTCTTTGCCGCAACCTCTTTACATTATCAGATCTTATTTGAGTATTAAGGGGTAAAACATGGAGGATATTGGACTCCTTTTAGACTTTGATCAGGATGGCTCCACTGAATTTGCATGTTGGGGACAGATGGACCAAAACTTCCACTTTCAGACCCAGCTTGATTCCTTCCTGATGGACTGCCAGGCTGCCGGTGGTCAGCTCTCCCCCTGGTCTTCTTTTGGCTGTCAGTCTGTGTTTTCAGACACACAGCTGACGTTCACCGATTTGGATGTACAGTCACCGGGACTTGGCGCTTGTGCTGAAGGCGACGGATGCTCTGCCGACGAACCTCTGGAGGCAGCCAAGCGCCGGACACAGAGCCTGGTGGTCCACCAGCCATACAAGGTCCAACGGCACGCCGCCAACATCCGGGAGAGGAAGAGGATGCTGAGCATCAACTCTGCCTTTGAGGAGCTGCGCTGCCATGTCCCAACATTTCCCTATGAGAAACGATTGTCTAAGATAGACACTCTGAGGCTGGCCATAGCCTACATCGCCCTGCTGAGAGAGATCCTCATGTCGGGGTCTGACCCCAAATCCTATGTTGATGAGTGCATGAAGAGCGGCTACAAGAATCAAAGCAATGCAATCTGGAACACAAGTGGTGAGCTCACTTCGATAAGCCAATTATTTCAGTTTCAGAAACTGCAGCTTAAACATGTAATGATAATGATCTAATATTGCTGAAGTAAACCTCTGATTAAATATATTCATCAAACATTTTGATTTTTGTATTCACATATGAAAAGGTCTTTGAAGTTGAAGGAAAATTAAGCAGATCATTTTAATCATGAACTAATTGCTGTGCTGTTTCTCTCAAGGTTTTGAACAAAGGTTTTAATAAACGCACTGCTAGGGTGATTCAAGTTGAGTAATTACACAATAGCTGTCAATATGTTTAAGAGAGTGCATTTATACTTGATGCAGTTAAATCTGTCAGTGGGAGAAAAAAACAGCTACAGCTGTGCTTTCCAGCCAAATGGGGAAAATCAAATCAGAATATAATCTACAACTCTCATCTTGCAACAACATATCTGGAAACTATTCACAGCACCTAATTTCCACATTTTGTTATGCTACAAACTTAATCCGAAAATCAATTGTAACATGTTTCCATCAAAATAACAACATAGCGTCAGAGATCTAACAAATTTAGATTTTCTTCCCTTTCTTCCTTTGCCATGACTCAAAATTGAGTGCAGATCTATTATGCATTTGCAGCTCATCCTTTAGATCTTTCTCCAACCTTATTGGAGTCCAATTGTTCTAAATTCAGAAGATTTGACGTGATATGGAAAGAAACATATCTTTATTGACTTCATTTCAGACTTCTGAGACCAGATTGCACAAATCTGAAGGACAGCATTGAACACTCTGGTCTTCATTATTTGGAAGAAGCACAATGTTGGAATCAGACTCTCCCTTGATCTGGTTCCCTGAACAAACGGAGTAATCTCTGAAGAACTGACTTGGTCAGAGATATGATCTGGAACCCAGTCATCACTGAGGAAGAAATCCAGTGTTCCCATGTGAAAGAAGAAACAACTCAATGGTCAACCACTGACAATGCAGTCTTAAACCATTAGGCTTTTAGCGTAGAGTGCTACTCAGATTCTTCAGAATAGAACCTCAGAGAAATAATATCATCTGGGCTGATGAAACAAACCTGCTTCAGTGAATTTAAAGGTTAAATCTAAATCTGACTGTCTACCAATGTTGTCCAACGCTGATTGTAGAGAAGAATTGTAAACAGGTGTCCCAAGATTTCAGAGAAAGTTTTGACTTGACTTCAGGTTGTGAAAATAATTTCTTGATATTAATTTTCAAAAATGTCAAAGAAACTTTCTTCACTTTCCCACTCCAGGGTATTGTGTTTAGAAAGGCAATTCATTCAATCCATTTTGGAGTAAGTCTGTAACAACAAGCCATGGAAGAATGAAGCGCTGTGAATATTTTCTGAGTCCTTTTTGATTAGTCTGACAGGGTTTGGACTGATTATGGTGAATCCCAGAAGGCTAATGCAGCCTTGAGCAGCTTTCTCTGCGTTCTGTTTGCACTTCATTCCCAGGTGTGGTTCCCAGAGGCATTCGGCCTTAAATGAGCCTCGGTTTTCTTGTATTCTTGCTAGCTTCTTTGTCTTAATTAACTAATTCTTTGGGAATGAACTCAGAAAGCTTTCATAGCTTTTTATGCGCAAGTGGTCCTCTTTTTGCAAAGCCCACACTGAAGACTTGTTAAACAGTCATTAAAATGCATTAACACTCATGCCTTAGCCCCATTTTTGTCCTTTTGTGCCCCCCAGATCTGACAGCCCGTCTCTCTTGGATAAAGTGGGATTAGCTGGGAAACACGATGGTTTCCTGAGTCTGTCGGCTGCAGCTATGTGTCAAAGACAGACAGACCTGCTGGCTTGGTGCAGCCTGCTGACAGACATCTGCAGACTTCTCACCAGGTCACACACCTCCGCCTTTATCAGCTTTCCTTGCCACTTTGCTCCAAGTAGCTTTTAATATTCTAATTCACTTTTAACTGGTAATTGAGTGGCATTGTTTCAGAAATTGGGGTAATAAGGAGTCCTGGCACAGAGCAGCTTTCCCAAACGGATGCCATTTGTCGCAGAGGCAAAGCTGGCATCAAACTCAAAGGACTCAAACTTCTGCACACTGAGCTGAAGTACTTCCTGGACTCATTTTCATCAAGCTGCAGTCGATGTGTTGAAAACAGCCTTCGTCTTGTAGATAAAAGATCGAAGTAGACGGTCAGGTGCTGCTTCTAAACAGCAGAAACAGTGGCTGGAAACTGAATTACTCAAATAGCTGTTGAATGTGTTTTATTTAAACTTTTCATTGGTATTTAGAAATAAAGTGGATTATAAAATTGCCTTCCATGAAAATATGTAGGCAACATATCATCACCTTCTTAAAATAATGACTTCAGTCATTTTTTGCCAGAAGTGATTTAGGCCAAAAGAAAAAAATCACTTTTGGCAAAAAAAAAATTAAAAATGACTGAGGCCATTATTTTAGGAAGGTGAATCAATTTTAAGAACATTTTTAACCATGAAATTTGACTGTTTTGTCTTGGAGATGTGTTTTCTGCTTCTGTTCTAAGATTTTAAGCTGTTGGAGGAGTTGGGCTAAAATGCTAACAATGGTTTCAACATCTTTCAAAACCATCAAATTGTGCTGATTAGAAAAAAGTCAAGTGACAAAAATGCATTTTTATAGTTTTTTTTTTATTTTCAACTCTTTCTTTGCTTGATATTTAATGTAAGTGTATTATTTCAAAGAAAACTGTTTTTAAAAGGCACTCTGAGGATGGTGGAAGTTATGTTCAAATCTCACTGGAGGAAACTCATGCAGGATTATCACTCTGATTCAGTAAGGGTTATGAATAATTATTTTTCCTACGCTTGAAGTTCACAGACATTATCAGAAATGGTTAGAATCTGCCTGATTTACTAACGTAACCCTGATCCAAAAGAGATAACAGGAGACCAGAAAGACAATCAGGTAGTCCAAAGATATAAACACTGAACCTAAATCTCAAGCATTCTTTTTAAAAATATTTTATAATCCCTTGATCTGTTTTTTTGTTTTTTATTTTTTTTACTGCATTTCTTAAATTCTGAAGAACACAGACACACACAAACTTTTATTGTTGCAGTTTCCTAATCCTCACAGGGGGATCTGAGCCCATCAGAATACCATTCGTATGAGATATGAATTAGTCATCTGAGCGGAAATTCTGGAGGCCAGAAGGAGTAGGATCCTTCTAGTCTGTGGCTTACATCAGTGTCTGTATTTTATTTATTTATTTTACCTTTTTTTTTTTGCACTGAGGTGGTTTATTGATTTAACTTCAGACCGACCTGCTCTCACAAACGCCGAGAGGCTGTTCTCTCGGCTGGCAGGTGTGTTTATCGTGTCAGAGGAGCTCTGCGGTCTTTGGCGTTGCACTTGTAAATATAATCAGTGCATTGCATCCTGTGAGGGAGTGGGTTAAAGTTAAATCTAAAACAGTTCTGTGTGAAGGTCACGCAGCAGTCAGAACAAAGATTAATTGATTTTGATAATTTCGAAACTGTTTAGATAAAACTGTGCAGCTACAGTTAGAGGTATACCTAAAGATGTCTTTAAAAAATACATTTTAGAATAGTAGCATAATCCCACACTGAGTGTTGCTCGTCTTTCCTATTTAAGTCGTCAGTCTCAGATCACATCTATATTAGAGGTGTAGCGATACCTAAAACACACAAGATGAGACAAGTTATTGAGTTCACAAAAGTATTAGTTTAAAGAAAACTTCACATATCAAATGTTTGCTTCAAAACTCCTTCATTCTGAATTTTTATTGGTGTGAGTCAGCAATACGTTGCGATAGTGGAGCTTTCTATTGCTTTCAGCAACAACTTTCTGTGCTTACATATTCATGTCTCGTCTTTCACTCTGGCTATTTGTCGTTCTTATTGGTGTGAGTCAGCAATACTCACACCAATAAAATCCTGCCAAACAGTCGATTTAAGAGTTGTTGGGGTATCTTCTATTACAACGAAGTCAGGATGAATACAACTAGCTGGTGCTCATGAGATGGCAGTCAACTCAACAAATACTATGATGTTTCAATATCGCAAAATCTTGTACGACAACATGTTTCTACACCTCAGGGAAACAGGAAGCTATGAACAACTTATACATTTCCAAAGTACTTTTATCAAGTGAAAATATTAAATAAACAAAAATGCCAAAAGTATTTGCTCATCCGTCCAAATTGTTCAATTCTCTAACCTATAATATTGGTTTATAATATTCAGCATGCAGACTGGTTCTACAAACATTTGTAAAAGAATGGGTCTCTCCCAGTTTGGCAGTGACTTCCAGTGTTGTAATATGATGGAAGACAACTTGTGCAATATGTCCAGTCATTACGTTAATCTCTACTTGCTATTCCCCAGTCAAACATCACTGGCATTGTTACAAAGCGGAAATGATTGGGTGTGACAGAACCTCAGCGCAACATTACTAAGCAGGTTCAGCCAATGAGGGGCATTCACACTTTCAAACTTCATGCAGCCTTCAGATTTACTCAAGAACAAGTCCAGTTCTATCCTGCAACTTTTGGATGAACTAAATCATAAATTTGACCCAATTCAAATCATTAGTTTGTATTTCCAGTCCTTGGCAGAGCTGAATGACATCCTGATGAGGGAATTCAGAGTAGAAATGCACCTACAACTTGCAGAATAGCAGCTCTCAGTTACTGGATTTGGACCCCCATGTTATACAGCTTCACGGAATGGATTTTCATGCTGCGACAGAAGAGTTCAACCTTTATATTATGTGGGAATTCACTATGGCATTGGGCTGGTTTTTAGGGTTTATACTGAAGTTTATATTGTGAGGGAAAATTGGGAAATACTTTCAACAAAACAGCATATAAGACAAATGCTGCTGTTGCATTTATTGTTTTGAAATTGTTGGTGCAATTTCTTAAAGCAGATAAAGCATATCTCAGTGTTGAATTTTTTTTCTAATTATTTCAGTGATGAGATTATTTTACCGCATTATTTATATATTTTTATTTTTATGACCAGAGGTGCCATTAAATTTGGAAGGTCGCTGGATTGGCTTATATTTTTATATAACAGGAAATCTATTACATGCGGTTTCTCTGTCTCTTTTCTGTGCCTCTCCCAAAATAACACAAATTTCAATGATGTTTATATATAGTAAAGGGAATAAAAAAGACTTTTATGGTCAAATTTTATAGGTTAAGTCCACAGAGTTTTCACAGCAGAATGACATCATTAATACAAAAAAGAGGACTGGGCGGCCTGGGTGTGTAACTTTTTAAAAACAATATTACCAGATGCGTAATTCCCTAAAAATACATGGTGTACACAGCTTCCCCGCTTTTCATGAGCAGCATTAACTCAATCTGTCCTTCAGAGCTTCACTGAAGCATTTTCCTAAAAAAAAATGAAAAAAATAAAAATGAATATTTGACATGAGTTCTTTAAGCTCGTTAATCTGTTGCAGGGTAATTTATCTCCAAATGACATCAGAAAATTACATAAGTGAGAAGATAAAATTGTCATTTTTGACAGTGGCATGATAACTCTGCACACCAAATAGTTGCGCAACAATTGGGACTGGCCGCAGCAAAAGCAGAAACAAGTCTACTGAGTGAGATGCGACCATTTGAATGTTAAAACTCTGGATTCCAAAATTCAGAAATAAACTGATTTCAAAGTTTCTTCACAAACCTGCTTCTTTTTTCAGAAATTGATGGTTTTTCTTCTTTTTCTCTGTTTGTTCTCTGCCAACTTGTTCCTACATTTCCTGTGGCAAATCACAATTTTCCCCTGAAAAAGCCAAAAACTAATTTCTTAAAATGAAACCTCAGATCTGAGGCTTATTAACATTTTGGATTGATAGATTGATTGCATAAAACTGTTACCTACTGAGACAAATTGGCTGAAAATGTGCAGTTCTACAAATATAGATGTGGAGAGAAAATATTCTCTGGAAAAAATTAACTTTTGTCAGTTTTTCTTTACCTGGTTGACAGAATGTTTGCTCTGCCTCCCACTGACCCGACCAATTTCCAGAATAATCACATGTTCTTCCTCTAAATCTCTTCCACCAACCTCTCATCTTCACGGTGATCCAGAGCTGCTTTTCTCATCACTGCTCAGCTTCAGAGGATCTTTTGCTTTTAATTTCTCAGTGGATCATTCAGATCAGTGTGTGACTGTGTGTCCCTGTAAGCCCAAACTTGAAACAGACCCTTTAATATTTGGAAAGTGCTTAGATGTGCATTGGAGCAGTCAGATGCTTCCTCATCTTTATACCTGCAGCCCCCCTCCAGAGGTTGGATTAAACCCGCTGTGGTAGAGTTGAGTCTCTAAAGTCAGATCAATGGTGTCCAGTGGAGAGGTGGGGATGTTACTGGTTACACAGGTGACAGTAAGGCACCGACACCAGACTGTAAACACCCTACGTCTTGTTGACATCCATAAACTGCTCCGACCCAATCAGAGGAACAAACAGCACAACTGTTTGCTCAGTCCAAGCCCTGAAAGGCTGGGACCAGTCAGGCCACCTGGCTGAAACATCGCTGTGAACCTGGACTAACCCTCCTGCTAACCTTGGCACCAGGGTCAGAAGAGCAGTCCTAATTACGCCGCATTATTTGTGGAAGAGGCCGGTCCATCGGCACCTGAGTGCACGGCTTTGCTCATTTGTTCAGCAAATTTACTCTGATCCCCATCAACACTGACAAACCCCCTCCCCAACCCGTTTCTCCTGGTGAAGTCCGGATTCTGGAAGTAGCATGTGCATAATGAACATAATTGTGTTATA